TAATCTTTGCTACATATCAACCGATTTTGTCGATGAATTTTTTCTTAAATCTCACTAAGACTATTTGCTTATATATACGGAGAATTGGCATGTTCCAAATATACGTATACAGTCAGTAGAAAAAAAATAAGTTTGGTACTCGAGGATTGTATTCCTAGAACAACATTTCAATCAACTGTACACAATCATCTGTAGCTTATTGTCCTCATTGATTGCTACATAGAAGAATGATAACAATGATTATTTTAGTTTTATTTCATTTTATATTTTTCTTTATTATTGTTTACCAGAACGTTTTCATTTGAACTTATAATCAGTAGTTTCCTTATGAAGAACGTGGACAACATTGCAGAGTTCAACTAATCAGTGTTTGCTTTAAAATATTTTTTAGACTAGATTTTCAAATGTTATGTAAACAAAACGTATTTCTGGCGTAACAAGTAACAAGTAACAAGCATGGTATATTTGACGAGTTGGTATACCATAATCCTAATTGAAAATATTTTTAATCTAACCTTTTTCACACACACTTCCTTCATATCTGCTGGTACAGTCACACGCAAAAGCGTTCAATAAATCGTTACACGACCCTCCATTTAAACAGGGAAAGGACTGACATTCGTTAAAATCTGTAAAACAATCATATGAAATAATGAATAAGAACAAATGTTTGCGTGATGTAAACTATTGTAGATCAAGTTTTTTTTTATTGTTTCACTAGGATCTTTTTTTTACTTTTTTCTAGAATGAATACGTGTTTAAAAAAGTTTAAAAGAAAGACATCAGTATTCAATGTCTTATGGGTAATTTGAACGATAAGATGAAGAAAATAAATAGTTACACCGTACGGACAACTATAAACATATTTTCATTAGTTGTGTTCGACATCAAACGCATGAAAACAAACAAATAAAGATACATGTACATGTAACATAAACTAGGACACAAAATAAAACAGCCAACGAATTCGGCATTTATAGAATAACCTTTGAAAATAACAAATTTTATAAACTTAGAATTTTAGAGATTGTAATTATGAAAGTGAAAACGCCTTTAAAAAAAAGATCAATAAATATGCATTATGATATCTAGGATGTAAATATTTGAAAAATTAAATAATTAAACTCAGTTGGTATAAATCAAGGAGTAGTTCTTTCGTAAAGCCTGCTAGAAAACATCAAGACATGCTTTTATTACAGCGGATGACCGTGAGGGCATTCCGGTGTATTGCTATCGCCTAGATTTCCATTACGTAACATTCGTTTTGGGTTTTTAACCGATCTATAAACATGATGAATACGTAGACATCATCAAGTGCAAACTAACATTCCTAATCGCTTGTTATAAATTAATTTTTTCAATGAATACTCATCAAATACTTTTTAAAGAAGATAAATTAATAATATTAAAATGTTTTGTTGTATGTATATACATATAAGTAAAAAATCATTAATATCTATGCACACGCATGCGGAAGAATATCTCAAGAACGTTTGCAATCTCAAGGAACGATAACTCTGCATGGATGATTAAACATTTTTTGCGGGAAAATACGAATGTCTACTCAAATCCATTCTATTAGAAAAATCGAATTATTACAGAAGAGTGTCCACCATGCACTTGCACTGCACTATTATTAATATAGTAGAATAGAATGATATACAAATGCATGAAAATTATATATACATGTAACTGTAATATTCAAGTATTAATATAATATATAACAATAAACCAGAGTATAATGATTTGTATCATTACAATATGATAGTCATTACGGTGAGGTTGAATTCCCTGTCATTAATTTATCATCCACGTACGAACTTGTCCCAGAAAAAAGTTATGTCTGTACATTAACCTCACTTTCAGGTATAGTAAAGGTTATCTTACCGATGTTGTAATTAGATCTTTGAATATAGTTTACATTGGCACTAATATCGATTTTGTCATCAGCAAATTAAAACATAACTTAATTTGTATTCTTTTCAAACGGGGTGTATAAAGACATACCCACGTTCATTTTGATCTATAAAGAGGTTAAACTCCTAACTATCTTACTGTCTGTCGATACATTTATTTTTGGCATTGCACAAGTCATGTCTTCTTTGACTGTCCATGACGTTAAAATACTAAATCCCTGGGATGTGTTTTAGTTGATTTAAGTCTCTGATGCATGCTTTTTTATTATTAATTGTTTTGGCTTTTAACTAGCTGTCAGTAACTGCGAGTACTCTCAAATCGTACTTTCTTGTTTATTTGACCTGTTGATACTAATTGTAATGCTTTGAAGACCTGTTGGTGGCCTTCTGCTGTTGTCTGTTCTGTGGTCGGGTTGTTGTCTCTTTGACACATTCCCCATTTCCATTCTCAATTTTAATTTTATTTTTTGTTATTTAATGTTATTCAGGTTTATATCTGGTCTATAAACCAACTTTGATAAGTGTTTGGTATTACTATAAATTTTCACTTCGTACTATGAACATCAAAATTTTTTATTTTGTAAAAATATTTCCTTTCTCTATTGGAACTGTACACGTATACCTAACAACAAAATTATTTTCATTTACCTGTGTTTAAAATAATTGCAAATTGCTGATATTTTTGTTCGAGAATATTGTTTTTCTTAAATTGTTTAACATTTCATACCGATATGACATGTTACTTTTATTATCCTTCCCTTAGTTTATTTATTTTGTATTTGCATTGTATCATAGGTCAAATTTATTTGTTCATTGTATGTTCATTGGTGTTAATATGTCCTTTGATTGAGTTAAGCTATTTCAGTTGATATTTTATGGTGTGTCTTTCTATGTTATGATGTTACACTATTGTTTCAGAATAAGGGTAAAGGTTTGGTACCATTAAAACGTTTAAACCCACTGCATTTGTTTGCACCTGTCCTAAGTCAGGAATCTGATGTTCAGTAGTTGTCGTTTGTTGATGTGTTTCTCGTTTCTCGTTTTTTATATAGATTAGACCGTTGGTTTTCCCCTTTGAATGGTTTTACACTAGTAATTTTTTGAGCCCTTTATAGCTTACTGTTCGGTGTGAGCCAAGGCTCCGTGTTGAAGACCGTACTTTGACATATAATGGTTTACTTTTTTAAATTTTGACTTGGATAGAGAGTTGTCTCATTGGCACTCATACCACATCTTCTTATATCTATATAGAGATGTGATTTTTTTCTGAGACAAGTGCTTGTCGGAGCATCCAGAAGAACTTGCGGTCATCCGATGTTCAGTACTTCAGTACTTTGATTCTTTTTGTATGATCACATCATATACATTTGATTTGATCCAGGTAGCATATTTTCCCTGAAAATTTAGATTACTGCAAAACATTGCAAAAGTCTCCATCGAAAAAATGGACCATATGACCAAACAAATGGAATGTATATAAATGAATTGATGTTTTTATGACTAAGTTGCGTGTTATATACTTAGTAAAATGATTATATAAGTAAAATATATTTGTAGATAAGTTACACTGTTTTGATTACAACTGTGTGGACTAGGAATGGAATATTTATGGCCTATTTTGCAAACCCTAAAGGAGATGGCAACTTATTACCTTGAGCGGACTGTTTGAGATGGACATTTCGAAAAAATATATATATCTGTTCAAGCTGCAATTTAAATTCTATAGCCTCCATTTGGATGAAATTCTGTGTTGGGTCATAAATTCTTTGAACACTTCAGTAAGATATTTTATTTGGTACTTCGGAGACAGCACATTTACCGGATCCAATCTCAATTATTGACACAATACATATGATCATGTCAGAAAGTAAAAAAATGGTTGGGATCAACTACACGTTATCTTCAATTAACATTAACATATGGGAAGTGTTATCTGACCATTCGTTAACAACAGGGCGAGGGGGGTTCAAATGGACGGACGATCAAATATTTCAATTGAAATTTGTTAAAATGCTTTAATTTGATTTGAGAAAGACGAACAAAAAACCTAAAAAAAAAAGTAACGCACTTTTGAAACGTTCACATTTAAACGGCCACTATCTCAGAGATCCTATTTATGATGCGTTATTCATTTGAATTCTTTAAATGCCTGGATACAATATTGTGTTCCTGTCGGGAATCTCGAAGCTTTTTTAAGGAGGAAAACGATACAAAGAAGACAATAAAACAAAAGTCGAATGATAAAAGATAACTCTATGGCCAAAGGACCGGTAGTGCACTCAGCTACCAATTTTGGCACCCATCGTGTTGTTCATTCCAAGTAAAATTCAGTTGATAAGCCGCCCTCGTTTATGTCACAATCGATGGTTCATTGTTCTATTCCTTTCAATGATTTGGTGTTGATAACTGATCTTTGGAAGTCACTGCTACTTTTATTCACATCTTGTCTACATGATTTCGTTATTTCAATTCCTCTGTAAATGATGGTATTTTGCCACTAGATATGTTTATATGTCTCCCTATTTTATTTGTGTTTAATGGTCACCGTCGTATCGATGTACACATGCAGCCCAGTTAATCATATCTACCTGTCTGACAACTTGAGTCAGTATAACCTGGGACACAAGAACAGCTATATTTGTTCGGGTGATCAGTACACGTTCCGCTGTTTTGACATGGAAAAGAAGCGCATTCATTTATATCTGAAAAATGTTTCATTGTGATAATAATCCACAAATACATCATAAGAAAAAAAAACTTTCATTATGATTACAATCGATTTTAGCATACACACCCACAAAGAAGCCTTATGAATGATGTAACTTTTATACTTGGTAAATAGGTAACACTTCAAAGGGTGCGTCATCTTATGTTTATGCTGATAAGGTTTTCAAGAGAGAAAACTATTTCAAACCCACCTTTTATTTAGGCATGATACTATTTGCATATTAGAAATATAATTAAAAGGATATGTGGGGTTACATATATATTGAATATAATTGTAAAAGCAAATATATGTGTTTCACAATTTTAAAATAGACTATAATAATTTATTACAGCACAAGAATGACCAAATACCTGTTTGACAGATCTTTCCTGTATAACCTGGAGGACAGGAACAACTGTAGTCATTAAACTTGTCTGTACATACACCGCCATTTTGACACGGGTTAGATGCACATTCATTTTTTTCTGTGATTAATTGAAAGTGAAAAATATTACTCTTATGAATATCCATGCCAATAATAGTTATGTTGTCTTTCAACAGTTTTGGTTTGAGTGTTCCTACTAAAAGTAAATCCGATCACGTGGTTCGGACGTACCTAATTTATAATATGTTTTCTTTTAATTATCTTATCAATCAATTAAAGGAGCGTCTCTTTATTCGTTGTTATGAATTTAAATGATAAAAATTAAAAAAGAATAAACGAAATGTTTTCATTCGTTATAATTTTTTTTTAAAGGTTTACTATAAAGGAATACTTGTTATTTAAGCAACAAGAACTAATAATATACACATATAGTTGTTATCTTCTATGTCATTTTGGTCTCTGGTAGAGAGTTGTCTCATTTTGGCAATCATAAAAAATCTTCTTAATTTGTTATTTTTACAATCAGATATAGTTATAACATCGTTGATTCTAACAGTCAGGTTATTAGATGTTTCGATCCGATGAACGGTTTGCTAATTTTTTATTTTAATATCATAACTTTTCAAAAGAAAAAAAATCAATAAACAGAAACAAAATATTTTTGCATCAACCCAGTTCTTTTTGTATATATAAAATGTTTAGTCTATATGATTGTGTCTTACAATGTCAAACAATAAACTAAAAAAAGGTGTCAAAGGTTGCAGACCAAATTTGTCAAAGAGTATATGGCCTTGTATTACCAACAATGTTTACCTTATCGTGTTTAATTTCACGTCTATTTTTAAAAGAGGCGAAAAATGTCAAAGGGATATTTAAACACACCTATCGAAAACAAATTGAAAATGCCATGGCAGAAAACGGGAAACAATTAAAAGACAAACAACAATATACGATACATAACTTGGATTACTATGGACTGAGAAACACTAACCTCTTCGAAACCGGACTTGGCCTCAGGTGCTTGTAAGGGTTAGCAGATCCTGCTCCACATGTGATACCCGTCGTATTATTCCCTTGAAATATGTTGATTAATTATAGAAAGTGATATCACGCAATAGTGGATTAGTAATTGACTCATCGGCATCACCAAATCGTAAAACATCGGTCATGTAGATTTTCTAACCCTGAAACGTGACCGAATGTTACATTTTGAAATTGAAACACGTTTTTCATGACAAAGGATAGACAAGACTGTTACCGATATAAACAAGCACAAAGAACAGCACTTATAACAAAAGCAAGAGCACGAACCCCTTGAAAACAAAACTTGGGTGATCTCAGGTGCTCCGGAAGAAAAGGGAGAAGGAGGAAGGGATTCTGTAGTGGTCATGTTCATACATGTAGGTGGAGATGGTCATTTAACAAAGGTAATAGGACAATGAGGCACTATGAAAAGCACATGTGAACTTTTACGTATCAATAATTAAAACAAGAATGCTTGAACTACTTTTAAAGTGTGTTGATTCTTACAAATAAAACATACCTGTCTTACAATAATCCGCTGGATCCCAGCCTTGTACACATTGACAAGTGAAGCTGGTACTTGTATCATGACATGTGGCTCCGTTATAGCAAGGGAAAGAGAGGCACCGATTATCTCAAAACAGAACAAAGAAAATTATTCATGTTCACGCTTCCAAAAGCAATTCAATACCAAATTATGGAACTCTGACATATTTTTGCTTGTTTTCTGGTATGGTGTACTGCTAGTGATTTGTAGAAGTACATACTTATAAATTTGGGTAATTTTAAAAAAGATGTTAATGAAGTAATATTTATATATTTATAGTACAAATTGATTTATTGAACAATATTACACGTCGCATTTGCATGAAACAGCCAAATCGGCACAAGAGCCCTTAAACCAATATAATGGTTTACTGGTTTACTTTTACAAATTGTGACTTAGATGGAGAGTTGTCTCATTGGAACTCATACCACATCTTCTTATATCTATTTGTTTTAATCAAAATCGGACAAAAAGCCAATCACTTCTTAATGTGAAGTACACAATAATCAAATAAGAAAATCTTTCAGACTGGCAATAATTACCTGAGCAGCCTAATGTGTAATGTGCTGGACAGGGTGTAGATAGGTAACATGCTTGTGTAGAGGTGCATGTATTATCCTCACAATAATACTCCCGTGATTGTTCATTGTGCTCCTGAAATCAATCAATTTGTTTTGTTTAACATGTATCTAAAATAGCTTATTCCTTATTCTCAAATGTTACGTTGATAAAAGCGTGTATTGGTTGATTATTTAATTGAAAAAGAAAAAGTAAACATAATCCTACGAGGAAGGTATCATTGATTTGCAAGAAGCAGTGACACAAGTCTTAATCTGATTTTTTCATTGATACTACAACATTTAATTTTTACTTTTTTTATTGAATTCAAAAACGAAATATTGCCACGTGAAGAGCATTGATGAATATAGACTTTGTTTCACAATATAGACTAGTGTGAGCTTCGATCATGTACAACGATACGGTCAAACAAATCATAGTTTAAATTTATGTATGCAGACTTCCTGTTATTTATCACTGTAAAAGAGAGGCGAAAGATACCAAAGGTTTACTAGTATTCAATATCATAAGTCGAAAACAAACTGACAATGAATGCCATGACAAAAAACGAAAAACGACGAAAAGACATACAACAGTACACAAGACAAAACATAAAAAAGGAAAGACTTCAAAAAGCACATTATAGACTATGAAGTTATAACTTAAAACTAGAGGTTCTTAAGAGCATTTGTCAGTCACGTAGGTCTATATGAATCTTAATCAAGAGACACTCTCTAACATTGACACTAGATGTTTAAACCAGGTGATAAATCTAATTTGGTAGGTCATATTCGATGAAAAGAGACAAAATTGTGGTAACGACAATTGAAACATATTTGTCGTCATCTGTGAAACAGTATTCCAAAACAGTGGAGATTATTACCAACATCAAAAACAGCAGCGGTTTGACCAGATCTGTTTTTGAAATTACCAGGAAATAAAATCTGATTTATATTGATATTGATTAGTTGAAAAGAAAAATACAATTACGAAAGAAGAAACACATATCTATGATTTGATTTCTTAATTGACAACATATTTGTTACGTTTGGAGGACGTGTTTTTCAACAAACCATCGGGATTCCCATGGGAACGAAATGTGCTCCTCTTCTTGTCGACTTGTTCCTTTATTAATATGAGGCTGACTTTATACAGAAGCTTCTTAGGAAGAATGAAAACAAGCTAGCATTATCCTTTAAATTAATGTTCCGCTATATAGATGATGTCCTCTCACTAAATAATTCATAGTTTGTTGACTATGTTGAACTTATCCCATCAAAGTTGAAATGAAGGATACAACAGATACAGATAAGTCTGCCTTATATCTTGACTTACATCTACAAATTGACAATGATGGTCGGTTGAGAACAAAATTTTACGACAAAGGAAATGATTTTAGCTTCCAAATTGTGAACATTCTATCTTTTATGTAGTCGGAGTTCAGTATTTTTGTGATTTTACTTTTTAGCAACATTTCAATGTCGTAACCACAATCACGTCCTCCATTATTCAATGTGACCTAATGAATTAGACTTTTAACCGGATCTGTACTTACATGAGCAAACATGTTCCTATTGTCCTAACCACAACCCCATCCTTTTTTCCTTGCATGTTACATACTGACTTACGCTTATCACCAAAATTGTACTAACACGAGTAAAACAACAGGTGCCACATGTGGAGCAGGATCTGCTTACCATTCATGAGCACCTGAGACCACCCTCGGTTTGTAGTAGGGTTCGTGTTGTTTGGTCTTTGGTTTTTAGGTTGTGTTTTGTACAAAATGTATATGGTTGTTTGTCTATTGATCATTTTTCGTTTTTTGCCATGACATTTTCAGTTATTTTTTCAACTAATGAGCTTAAATATCTCTTTGGTATTTTTCGCCTCTCTTTTGCTTATCACTGTTATTGGAAAAATGGAGTTATCGTGAATGAGACAGCAATATTACGACGTAAAAACCAAAACACAATAGATAGATGTCTATACAATTAGTAAGCTCTTAATCGCCTGCCTTAAAGGTTACTATGGACAATTTTCCATCAGTATCAAACGAATATTTTCACGTTATAGAAATTAACCATAACAAAGGTTGTTAGAGAGAAAAAAAGCTAGCTTCTTCCTTTAATTTAAGTTATTGTTAAATATGATGTCCGCCCACTAAATACTGTGGTGACTATCATGCTGGCATCTATGCCATCAAGCTTGGAAAAGAGGGTACTTCAGATATTGTTAAGTCTACCTTATATCTTGACTTACATCTAGAAATTGACAATTTTCATGTAGCAACATTCCATCAGCGCCTGCATATGGAATATATATATATTTTCCAGTTGATACACTATTCCAGCTTGCGTTTTCTGTCACGATTTTCTACACTGAAGGTTTCGGTTTCGAGGAAACTATTGAACCAAGGCTTCCAAGTTGTAGTCATTCCTTCGAACTTTTTACGGACGCCATCACGAGTTGGTTGACCGATATGTGACACAGATCATTACGGATATGTTCCAATTGTCGTAACCACAGTACCATCTTTCTTTTAAGATTGTGACATTCTCGAGTGAGATTTACCCTTATTTATTCATACCATCAGCAACATTACTAGTGCCACTGGTTATGTAAAATCTGTTTACCCTTCCGGAGCACCTGCGATCATCCCTAGTTTTAGATGGGGTTCAGACTGCTCAGTCTTTAGTTATATATTTATATAGTGTTTTGTTGACTAGTTTCTAATGTTGTTGTATTTCATATTTTGCCATGACGCCGTTAGTTTCTCTTCGACCTTTGAGTTTTTAATGATCCTTTAGGATCTTACGCATCTTCGTTATAGTTTTTTAGACTTGGGAACATGAAAGTTAAAAAAAATGTTTTAAATCTCAGCCCTATACCATTTAGCTTCTATCAGTGGAGTTGTCATGGAATAAAATTTCTTTATACTCTAGTGTTCTAAATGGAAAACAAATATTATGGAATGATATTTCCACTGGAAGAAACTTGCTATGTGTAGGAACTGTTTTGTTAAACATATGTACTTCTTTCTTATATGTTCTTTCCTACTAGTCCAGAATTCTTTACGTTAGGAAGAACAGATATGTTTACAAGCGTATATAAGTAAAAGAATGTACCATAAAACAGTACTGGGTTAAATTCTAGAACAGTTGAATAAGTAACAATTAAAACAATCACGAAAAATCCAACAAGCACAAGGAAAACCATAATAAGAAATAACTTACAAAAGAATGTTCACAGTAACTAAAACACGACAAGAAAACAAACACCGATTACAGTATTTTTTCTTAAATAATCATAGAAACAGGGGCGGTATATATTTATTGATTGACTGTTGCAAGCTTATCGTCTAATGGCAAAAATATCATTTACATTTTTACAGGATGAGAACAAATTTAACTATAAAATAAGTAGATTCTTCGATATGGGATGACCAGGATGAAGGGAGATAAAATGTTGATTCCTAAGTGTTGTAAGTATAAAATCTCGGAAAGATCCTCATTCCGACACATACTCAGTACTCAATTTACAAATCCTTCACAGTCAAACTAACACGCCTTTATCATTATTTTTGCTTGAGATTTGAATATTTTAGGAAGCCTTATTGTTATATTCAAGACAATTTTTTAGTGTACCTGCTATTGAAAATGGACAAATAAAATAAAGATATGTTGAATAACAAAATTAAACTTTACGAGTTGTTATTCATAGACAATCCCATTGACACAACCTCCCCCGTTCCTTTCAATTCAGTTAAATTAGAAAATGTGAAACGATCAATTAATTGATAACTAATTTTCATATCGCATCAACGAGAAACTAAAGAATCTTTTACTTTTTTATTTCCAAACTTTTATAATGAACCGAAATGCAATATTATCTTATGTATTGACAATATTAAATATCAATAAATATCAAAAAACGATATTTTAATTTCATAATGAACATGCCTGCATGTTTCATTCCCTCACACCACTGATAATATAAAAGATTTATTTAAAATGATTCATGAATCTTTATCATATTGTTAACTGATTTGATCTTCAAATTTGATAAGATTATTCCTTCATTCTTTTTTCAAAGACTCCCCCCCCCCCCTAAAAAAATCTTTCCAAAGTGACTTTAAAGAAATGTCATGTCCAGTGGTCACAACAATATAACCTCGTGTTGTAAAATCTTATTATTGTCTGGATGAAACATTATTATGACATTACGTCATCGGTGATAACCTGCTCCGCCTTTCTGCTGTATAATCAAGACATCTATTTTTCAAATAAACTTATTTCTATATGATCTTAGTCAAGTGAGTTAACATTTCTTTCTTTAAATGGTTAATTCATTTTTTACCATACAACTGTCTTTGTTGTTTTCACAATAAAGCTCGTCTGTATTGCATCTAGGATCACTTCTTCTGTTTCTTGTTGGAGATGTAAGGAATGAACGGGCTTCATGTCGTTGTATTTTCCACGGAGCTTCTACTTCTGCATTGTGTGCGTTAGATAATTCTACAAGGTAATATATAAACAATGTACATATATTGTTTATATCATGTATCCTAAAATTAAACCGTAAATTCTTTACTCCGTACGTTTAGTTTTTTCTTTTTTGGTCGCAACCGTTGTCTTTGATTTTTATAGAAACCGACATGACAAAATTAAAACGCATATCAGGAAGAGGAACCTTAAATAAACAGTGAAGTAAACAGTAATTTTAATATTACTTTTTGCCCAACATAGAAGCAAAGGTAAAAGTAGACTTTATTTGTACATGTACAAATAAGGCGAAAATTTAAGTATACCTATTCATTGTAAAAAAGTTGGATGAATGCACGATAAATATATATTGGTCCATAAATAGAAAATTGTTCAGGACAGCGGGTTGAGGATATTACTGTTTCTTGTACTGTGACTAATCATGAATATTCACAGATAATATTTGTAAGAATTCAAAATTTTATTGCAAAAAAATGGTTTAAAAATAAAAAATGTTTATTCTACTAGACATATTATAACCAATGCATTCTGATATAAAAAAAAATCGTGTTTGAATTATTTTTTAAATGTAAATCATTTGACATTATTCTTCTCAAGAAAAAGAAAGAAAACAATACAAGGAAATAAAATAACAAAAAATGTATAAGATGTTTTAAAGTAGAATAAATTATGGAATACATGTGTAATTGATGAATTGAAGTAACTGTATCTTTCAAACAAACTTACCTAATAAAGTAAAGATAAATGCGAATTGTAAAATGTACATAGTACAGATGAGGAAAAGAAGGAATATTCTTCTTCACACCAATACTTTCAAGCGGATTATATTTTACGTTCCGTAAGCCGAAAATACTCAGTAATTCAAATGTTCAATCTTATAGGCTTTTGAAAGTTCAAATAAATATTTCTCTAGGTACTCAAATATACCAAATAAAACGATAAAATAAACTTTAATGAGTTTTGTACACTTCTGTACGGTAGATACAATTTACAATTCTAAACTTGATTCACCCAATCAAAAATAATTTATGATACTATTGGAGTGTTTTTCGTTTTTTGTGTAGTTGTATAGATCAGTTTCTTTAAATGATTTGTCAGATGAGATTTGTTTAAACATCGGTAATAATTTTTATACACATACATGTTATTTGTAATACATAGTGAAAAAAAAAGAAAATGCTAAAAATCATAAATTCCTACACGAGAAAGGAAAACTCGACTGATAATTAACAAAGCACAAAAACAAATACTTTATTTGCTTTTTTGGTTTGAACAGCTCTTCAACGTTTGTCTTAAGTTTTTGATTTACAAATATGTTGGCCTCGAGCATCACTGAAGGAACACTAATAGTCGAAATGTGCATCTGGTGCAGTAACGCAGTAAAGTTGGTACCGTTTATGTTATCAATAACTTGAAATAGAAAAACGAAAGATACCAAAGGGACATTCAAACTCATAAGTCGAAAATAAACTGACAACGCAATTACAAAAATAGAAAAATACCAAAAAGACAATTAATTGTACACAATTCCTTGAATAAAGAGCTCAAATCGATTAATAACATTACCGGTACCAATTTTACTGCACCAGAAGCACATATCAACAATTGTCTCCTTAAATATTTCAAAATCCAGAACATAAAACAAACGTTGAAGAGCTGATAAAACCCAAAAGGAACAAAAGTATATTCAAACGTGTACATAGAATCAGAGTAAGTAAACTTTCCATGGGCAATCCTTATTTGTAATTGTGTCGTTTTTCTTATGTGTTATTGACGTTGAACCCACATCCTCCTGTATTTTATATAAATCCGAACGGAAGTTTTGATATACTGCTTAAATAAGCCGAATTTTAAAATGAAGATTTGTTATGACACTTTCATAATTCAACGGTAACTTTAAATGTTAAAGAAAAGAACCCCGAGTTTCAATGTACTGTTAAAATTTGGCCTCGTGCTTCTCCGAAGAAACACTTATTGTCGAAATGCGCATTCAGTGCATTTACATTTTAATGATAGAGAGGGGTAATCAATCTAATACCTCATATCTCACTTACATTTTTTTTTCTTTGGTTGATATTTTTCTTTTCAGTATGCTTATATTGGCAACTTTGATTAACTTTTAGTTATAGTTGTATACGGAAACCACCGAAGAAAATTACGTATCCTATTTAACCTTATTTTTATATCTAGATATAGTAAGAACGTTTTTTGCACATCTTTTTAGGAATTTGGTTTCAGTGCTCTACAACGTCGTTATGAACATGGCCATCAAACTATTTTGTTTAGTGCCATGGTTGAGTCTGGTCACTACAAAACGTTTCTGGAGTAGTAAATATATAATCAATGTATCTGTGATAAGTTTTGCAACTATTGAGACGATACCACATGTGTAAACGTTTCGTCTCATAAAAATAATCTGTATTTACCAAAGTCATAACAACTATAGGCATACAACATATAAAACTACACATAGATATAAAAAGATGTGGTATGAGTGTCAATGAGACAACTCACCATCCAAGTCACAATTTATAAAAGTAAACCATTATAGGTCAAAGTACGGTCTTCAACACGGAGCCTTGGCTCACACCGCACAGCAAGCTATAAAGGGCCCCAAAAATTACTAGTGTAAAACCATTCAAACTACTGAACATCAGATTCCGGACTTAGGACAGGTGCAAACAATTGCAGAGGGTTTAAACGTTTTAATGGTACCAAACCTTCACCCTTATCTGAAACAATAGTGTAACATCACAACATAGAAAGACACACTATCAAATATCAATTGAAATGGCTTAACTCAATCAAAAGACATATTAATACAAGTGAACATACACTGAACGAGTAAATTTGATCTATGATACAATATAAATACAAAATCAATAAAATAAGGGATGAATAATTAAAGTAACAGTATTATACCGCTGTGAAATGTTAAACAATTTCAGAAAAACAACAATAACCTTAAACAAAAATATAGTATACATAGAATAGCAGAAGGTAGTGTAAAACATATCACAACATGTGAGATTTTAATATTTGTTAACGAAATATAAATTTACCCAAATTACATAGCTTTCTAAGATTATTTGAACTCATTTATTGTATATATTTATACATAGAAGGATTTCTCAAATGATAAGGTTTGATAAAATCAGATCTTAGAACTTGATAAGTGGGACATTTTAAAACAAAATATATTTCATCCTCAATGTCATCCTTACAAAAACGTCTCAAAGGGTAGTTGTCAGCACTTCATTACTGATATGGAATATCATTGGTGCTTTCTTTCCTGTAATTTAATGTTTATAAAAGTTTAAGTTATGAAAAACAAGAAGATTTTTCTACCCCGAGGCCTAAGTCAGCTTTTGCACAGCCCATTAGACTTTTAGCGTTAAATGTTTTGTATTTTGTATCTTCGTAAATCATGAAATGGTTTACAATATGGAGTATATGCACAACAGATGACCACAAATGTTTTACTTTTCATAGCCAGAATTCAGACCACTTTTTTTTAACCATGACATCGACGAATAGGTTATATGACGGGTACCACTAGTGGAGTGAGAATTATCTGAGTTCACACCCGTTTTTTATGGGAGTTATTGTTTCTTAATCTTTGGTGTTCTGTGTCGTGTTTTGAGGATCTATATTTGTCTTTTCGTCGTCTTTCATTTTTGTCATGGTGTTAATTGTTAATTCAACTCATGATTTTTTAATCCCCCTTGATATCTTCTACCTCTTTTGAAATGTGAATATGATACGAATTTAATCTTGTATTTCACATATAAATAGCATGAAGGTTACAAAAAAAATTTCAAGAGTTCTAAGCTCACAGAAAATATGTGTATATAATTCTTTAAAGCTAGAAATGATTTCAAAATTTAGTTTTAAAATTTAATCGTTAAACCACCCCTCCAAAAAAAGGAAGTTTTACTTTCTATATCAGATTTACCTATCGTCATTGAAAATTTACTAGTACTACTCAACACGGATGCAATAAAACAAGATGTTAGTTTAATACATTTAATGATAAAATGAGGAGTTATTGGCTGCTATTAAGATCACAAAGGTATAAAAAAATTGAAAACAACACGATTAATAATTTCATGCGTCCGAAGCGCTTTTCTGGATTTTTCTTCATCAGGAACGCTCAAAGCCAAACACTTGAAATCCGAGGATGTATAAGTACCGAAACCGTTGAAGAGCTATATGACAAAAATACCTAAAATAAATAGCAAAATTCATCTAAAGTCAACTTTGCCTGAGGGAGTTGAAACCTTAGTATCTTAATAATTTAAAAATTTAAAAACGGACAAATTTAGAAAAGTTTGTTAAATCATGTCAGTACCGAAGTACTGACTACTGAGCTGATGATACCCTCGGGGACTGATAGTCCACCAGCAGAGGTATCGACCCAGTGATGTAAAAAATTGAAAACAACACGTTTAATAATATAAAAGAAGTATATCGTATATATTTCTCTAATTTACCACTTTCTTCTGGTACGTCAAATGTATAGTTGAATGCTTATACAATTTCAAATGTATGAAAAGCATAAAATGTGGGATAGTTGTTAATGCAAAACAATTTAAAGTAAACCAAAATGAATGTAGCTCCCTGTATGTTTTCTAATGATATTTTTTTCCGTTAGGTTCTTGTTTATATCCAGAAGAGCAATGACCTGAAACCCTTTTACCAGAAAACAGGGTCTACACTCCAGCGAAAAAAATCCCGAACCCGGAGGTAGGCATCAGATCTTAATGTGCAATCGACACTCCAACTGCAACATAAATAATACGTATACCCATCACATTTATTACCGTAATCTCCTTAAAAGCATTATTCCTGTCTTTTAATAGGCTATCATGCATTTGACAATGTTGCTGGTTGTTCCCCGGGGTCCCACAAAAAAGTTGTTGTCATCTGAAACAAAAATACAAAAAAAGTTTGATTATATACATCACAGAGAAATAAACATTGATATCTCTATATTTATTTCACCAAGTCTTTCAAAAATGTAGGGCCAATATCTCATTAATGTATTTCACGCCAGGTCCATTTATAATGAAAAAAAATTTCCAACACGACGTATGTCACCTGAGGAGTAGGATTTGCTAACCATTCCGGAGCACCTGAGATCACCTACAATTTTTGATGGGGTTTCTGTTACCCAGTCTTTAGTTTTCTATGTAGTGTTTTGTATATTGTTGTTTGTTTTTAATCGTTTTACGCTTTTTAGCCATTGCTTTGTCAGTTTGTCATATCGACTAATGAGTTTGATCCTTATCCCTTTGATATCTATCGTCTCTCTTTTTTAAGGGCAAACGATACAGTTACAGGGGAGGTAATGACGTTGCTAACGTTAAATGTTATTTTTCACGACGTCAAACTGTGATATATCGGGGAAAATGCATTTTCAACTTATTTTTTATCATTCAGACAGATTTAACTTGAAAACGAGTTCATGGACCCCTCTTTTTAAAAATGACATTTGGCTTGATTATGTATGAAGATTATTTATGACAATTTTTATGAACAAATCACCGATGACTTTTAATTTGGTAAACATACAGCAAAAAAATGCTCTTCTTTGACTAAATTCATAAAATGTGATAAAAAGTAATAATTTCCAAAGTATAGTTTCACAAATTCAAAGCATACTTATATAGAGAAGATATTCCAGATCTTCAAAAAATAAAGTTAGGTATGTCTTTCTGAAGGATAGAAATGTCCAAGAAACCGAAATTTCCAGTATTTTCCATTAAATGTCTAAAATTGCGACCCTATTTATATCTAAAAATAGCACATGAAGGTTTATTTTTTATTAAATATCTGAATTGACTAGGTGAAAGAAGCTTGTATTCAAACTTTAGTCAAAAATTCACCGTGGGGTCCAAACTGTATCGTATGCCCTTAATTTCACGGTATGAAGGTTCCTTGTATGTATTTAGAAGTTCTAACAACATTATGGTGTATGTCTGAGCATGTATCAAAATTTTAGATGCCTGAATATTGTTAAAAAAAAACGCAATTTTGTTAGAATTTGGCAAATTGTAATTACATATAAAAAATAGATAAGAACATTTTTAACCAAAACCAAAATTCTGTTGGAAATAAAGATATAATTTATCTATCAAATACAAATAAATCATGTTGTTCACGGGTGTTCTTTCATGTGATTATTATAAACGCATGTAAATCAATTGCATCAAAGCCGTCTTCAACAACAATGCATAACACTAAAAAACTATTCGACTTCGACTTGATGGCTATGTGTAAAAATGTTATTAAATCTTCAATGAGTATTATTAAGATTATTGAAAATTTAAATTACAGAAGGTTTTAACAACTTTCAATCTTTCAACGTGAGTGAAATAAATTTGCGAAATCTTTTTTTTCACCTCATGAATGGACTATTTCAGACGACATCGTCTTTTAATTGCAAATTTTCAATATATCATGTTTCTGTTTTATTTAAGGTTGCTTTTAAGCTCACCTGGTCATTATGGCCAGGTTAGCTTTTCTCATCACTTGGCGTCCGTCGTCCGTCGTTGTCGTCGTCCGTTAACTTTTACAAAAATCTTCTCCTCTGAAACTATAAGGCCAAAGTTAACCAAACTTGGCCACAATCATCATTGGGGTATCTTGTTTAAAAAATGTGTCCGATGATCCCGCCCGCCGACCAAAATGGCCGACATGGTTAAAAATAGAACATAGGGGTAAAATGCAGTTTATGGCTTATATCTCAAAAACTAAAGCATTTAGAGCAAATCAGACAAATTGGTAAAAATGTTCATCAAGTGAAGTTCTAACTGTCCTAATATTTTCAGACGAACCAGACAACCCATTATTGGGTTGCTGCCCCTGAATTGGTAATTTTAAGGAAATTTTGCAGTTTTGGGAATTATCTTGAATATTATTATAGATAGATATAAACTGTAAACAGCAATAATGTCCAGCAAAGTAAGATCTACAAATAAGTTAACATGACCAAAATTGTCAATTGACCCCTTAAGGAGTTATTGCCCTTTATAGTAATTTTTTAACAATTTTTCGTAAATTTTTGTAATCTTTTACAAAAATCTTCTTCTCTGAAACTACTGGGCCAAATAGAATCAAACTTGGCCACAATCATTATTAGGGTATTTAGTTTAAGAAAATGTGTCCGGTGATCCAGCTTGCCAATAAAGATGGCCGACATGGCAAAAAATAGAACATATGGGGTAAAATGCAAGTTTTGTCTATTATTCTGATAACCGTTATAAAAAGAAGAAATCTGAAAAGGATAAAATTGTTCAAAATGTTGAGCTCTACCAATTATCCATATACGTCAAAACTGTTAGACGATTTCCTGTAGGAGTTATTGCCCTTAAATGACAAATTTTACCACTTTTTTCGATTTTTGTCTATTATCTTGAAAACTATAATAGATAGAGAGAAACTTTAAATTGCAATAATAATCAGAAGGACAAGTTCTACAAATAAGTTATATGGTTGAAATCGTCAGTTGACTCCTTATTAGAGTTATTGCCCTTTGATGCCGATTTATACATTTTTTTTTGCGTTTTTGTCTTATATCTTAAAACTTATAATAGATCGAAAGAAACTTAAATATACAAAAATTATCAGCAAGACAAGATCTACAATTTAGACAAATGGCGGAAATTGTCCGACGACTCCTTATTGGAATTATTAGCCTTTAATTACGATTTCTACCATTATTTTTTTTTGCGTTTTGCCTTATATGATAAAAATAATAATAGATAAATAGAAACTTAAATAATGAAAAATACAACCAAGACAAGACCTACTAACAAGTCACATTTTGCTGATATAATTAGTAGACTGTTACTCTTTAAAGGAGTTTTTTACCCTCTTTTGTGTTTGGAGCAAAAGCTAAATAAGATCATGAAGATAGAGAGAAACTAAACAGACTTCAATGATCAGCAATATAAGATACAAAAAAAACCCAGAGATTTTTGTCATTAATTCTATTCTCGTCTACAATGTTGGAGAGTATCCTTTATTGAATATGCATATAGACCAAGGTGAGTGACACAGGCTCTTGAGAGCCTCTATTTTATTAATGTTTAAACACCATTTTTAACAAATATTTTAAGCTTTGCGAAAAGGTAAGCATTTTAAGTGATATATCGATGCTATTTACCGAGCTTGCTGTAAAACGGTGGTTGTATAGTTTGTATCTTCTTCTCCTTTGAAAGTATCAGAAGTACATGTCCCGTTTCTCATTCAGCAAGTTAAAACATAGAGAGAAAGGTCGCTTTTGTGGGTGAAATATCGTTTTACCTTTCAAGGAGAACAAACAAACAAACAGACAAGCAACTACAGTATACATAATACGTCTGCGGTTGACAGGCGTATAAAACCTGACAATTTCAGAACCAATCGAAACATTCAAAACAACTTGACAACTGAAAAATCATATTCATAGCCGATGTTCTTGTAGTGATAAATCAGTGAATTTATTGTTATTAGTAGTCATTTTAACTTCCAATTCACTCTTTGTATATAATCAAGAATTAATTTTTTTCAGGGAAAAACATACTTACCATGAAACACTTGTCTAACAAATTCATCTCCTTTACCAAAGTGAATCTCGCATGATCATCTATGTTTCTGTTCACACGATCCGTACAACTTCCAGCATTTTCACAAGGGTTTGATTTACATTCATGTATATAATTAAAAAAAAAGCTTTTCAGAGAAATGAAATAACATAAAACAACATAAAACAACAATCATAACCATATCAGTTATATACACAAATTTAAAACAAAATATTTAGAAAACAAGTTAAAGATCAAGCTTCAATTTTAATGATAATAGACAACCAAATAACATTATTAGCATTATAAATTTGAAAATATCGGCCACTTAAGACCAACTGAAGAATGTGATATTGATTTTTTTTTATAATAATTTACATTTAATAAAACATGCATTTTTAACGTATTTGATATTCAATGCTATATAGTTTACTAACAGGAATATTGCCTGGAAAACATATATTGGACATGCATTCTATCTTACAGTACGGGACTAGAAAGCAGAAGCATCAAGTAGAAAGGCAAATTAAATATGAAAAGTAAAACTATATAAACATATAAAGCAATGTACATTTAGATATATCTGAAAACAATACAAAATATAATATATTTGATTATGTATTTCAATGTGATTCCTTTTTTAAATCCAACAAATATTTAGACATGAAACTATATACATATAAAAAAACAATTATGTTCATGTAAATATTATAAATAAGTGCATAATCAATGCTCATTATTTTCAAATTTATCTCAACATACCTTGACAATTATTTCCTGTATACCCTGGAGGACAGGAACAGTTGTATGCATTGAACAAGTCTGAACAAACACCGCCATTTTGACACGGGTTAGATGCACATTCATTCTTATCTGTGATTAATTAAAAGTGAAAAATTGTATTAATGATAAAATTAATGCTAAGAATGGGGATGTTTGTAATGATGTTAAAACTCTGCTCAGTTAAGCAAAAACTTAATCAAGTCCAAAAGTGTGTGTGTAAAAAGTCGACTTTGATCAATTAAGATAGGACAAATCGAGGTAAAAACAAAAACTGAGGTACGCATGAACTCCAAAAAGTGAGTCTAGGTGCGTCGACAAACTAATTCACTAAATGAAAACACACCTTTATAAATTGTATTATCCAAAGCGCTTCTCTGGCTATACCTTAACCAGACACGCTCAAACCAAACATTTGCAAGTCAGGGTGTATAAATACACATAATGCTTTGAGCTATATCACCAAATGGACCTTGTCCTTTAAGAAATATTTTGCCTGTAAGGAATTAAATACTTGTGACGTCAGGAAACTGCTCTATTACAGTTGCTAACATCCATTTTATATGAACTTTGCTGGATATTATTCTCATTGGCAATGACATTAAATCTCGTTTTTATATATGGTATACTGTTATAACCTCAACAACGAAATTAGTTAACATACAACATTGAAATTATATGTCCATAATTTGATTAATATTCATTAATGCTTTTTTTCTTAATAGTGAACTGTTTTGTTTACCTACCAATTTTAAATTACTGTTGTTATCTTGCATTGTAAATCAATGCAATAAAGAAAGATCTCAAAGGATGCAGTTAAAGTTTGATCTAAAGTGTGTAAAGTTCCGGAAGATAATATGCTGTGTAGGTCAAAGATTTTTTCCTGTGCATTTATTAGATTGTTGTAAAGAGATTCACTTTGTTCGTATTGATATTTGATTTATATTTTATCAATTATTAACAGATGTAAAGCAGTTTCAGATATTTATCATTAAAATTGTATGTGAAAAACTACCTGTAACTCTATCAGTTTATTTTTCTGAATATACAATCCTATAGCATAATCAATCGCTGGATTCAAGGCTCTACACAGTGCCTCATAGAGTTTTTGTATGTGAAGACAATATTCCACAGTTATTCCCCGGATACCAGAACGCAACGCAACGTAACGTTACATTATATTTCGCAGGAGTCAGTATCGAAGAAAAAGCATGGTGAGTGATTTTAATAATAACATCAGAACTGTAGCACAATCAGTAGCTGTGTCCCGGCATAGATAACAAGGCCTCAGTGAATTATTTGTACCTTAAAAAACCTACCCATGGCAAAGAGAGTCATTGGATCCTAGCCTGGAACGCGACATCTCGATGAGAAATTCGTTTATAGAAACACCTACCTGCAGCACAGTTAGTCACTGGATCCCAGCCTGGTACACATTGACATTCGTAGCTAGTGTTTGTATCTTGACATGTTGCTCCATTATGACAAGGAAAAGAGAGACATTGGTCGTCTAATGATATAAGGAATAAACGTATTAATAACAAATACACGAAGAAAAGGATATATGTCAAGGAGACAGCAATACAACGATGCGAATAACCAAAAGATATTTCGATCTCACCGAGCCGTCTTCATCAAAGTTCTTATAAAAAATGACAGGAACTAAAAGTATCCGGGTTTAAATTAGGGCAACAGTTGTTTACTGATGATAAAATATATCCATCAAGAAAGAGACGAGAACGATACCAAAATGATATTCAAACTAATAAGGCAAAGTCAATCTGACAACACCACGGCAAAAACCGATAAACGACGAAAAGACAAACAACAGTCTACAAAATACAACATAGAAAACTAAAGACTGATCATGAACCCCACTTAAAGCCGGTGTTGATATCAGGTGCTACGGACAGATGAGAAGATCCTGCTTCACATGTTGCACCCGCCGTTTGGATCATGTAAGTACACATTCTGCGATGTCACATGAGAAGATACAAATTAAGGTAACAATTAAGGAGCGAGACCGGATACGTCAACAGGGTAAGCGTCTCCTGCTATGTATTCATCATCGCAAGCCATGTTAATCTACACTGGCAAAATGTCACAATCGGGAATAGGACAACACCGATAAAGTTTCAGATCAGACGACTCTTCTGTTATCTAAAGATCTTAGACTGCGGAAACATGTCGCTACTGAGTTTAGACACAGAAACATTGTCAACGAATTCATGATGGTTACCGTAAAAGTAATGTAGTGTCAAGTTCAGTCGTTCTTTGTCATAACTCAATTTTTGTGGAAAAAGATCACTCCCTCGTTAATATAATCCGTTTATTGTAAACATACACGAGCATAACGTTTAAATTGAGATATGTAAACGTCATACGATAGGTTAGAGGGTATGTTACTGAAAAATTGGAAATTTATAATTGGAAAGTGAACCTCATCACATTTGTCGTAGATTCTAGTGTCAATTGCGAGGAAAAGATCAATATATTAAACAGACCTCGTTGATTCGGTAGTATCCTTAATTCAAAGTTATCTGGGATATATGAAAATGTAAACACTCAGTAAAATGAGGGTTATTGAGTGACAAGACATCAACAATATATTTGAAAATGGAATTAAAGCACCTTTCAAAATGCTTTTTTCTTCTTTTTGTCTTTGAGAATTTTTTGTATGCATTCTGCTTAAAATGATTACAAAAACAAGTCAATTAGCAAAGGTGCACAATTAGTATACATTGGAACACCGACTGTCTGTTGGAATATCAATTCAACAAACTCAACAAATATGTTCATCTTTGTTGATGTGTTGTTGCAAAGATTTTTGAAGACCTAAAACGAGGAATTTGTATATACGAGTCCTATATTTGTAGAAATGCCCTGTAAAATGAAACGATGCAGTCGATCTTTCAATTGAGCAACAGTAATTACCTGAACAGGATAATGCGTAATGTGCTGGACAAGGTGTAGAAAGGTAACAAGCTTGTGTTGCAGTACATGTATGACCCAGGCCACAATAATGCTCCCGTGATTGTTCGTTGTGCATCTGAAATTAAATTAGTTTTCCATTGCGTCTCAGAAATCGTTCTATTTGTATATTTTTTGAAGATCACAACATGATAAAGAGAATGAATAAGGAAAAGACAGAACTATTATTAAAATGACAGAAATCTGCGAGTCTAAAACCAATGTTCAACCACTACTACAATTCGTTCAGTCTTTAATTTAATTTATTTTGAAGGGAAATAATGGCGAATATGGTTAAATGGACATATTGTAGGAAATCATTTAGCCAGGAGCTTCCTTCACATCAAAGTTTAAACCTATCCGTTAGACTTTGTGTACTATATGATTGATTGATTGATTGATTGATGTTTAACGCCACTTCCAACACTATTGTTCTATTTCGTGGCGGTCAGTTTTTATTGGTGGAGGAAGCCGGAGTGCCCGGCGAGAACCACCGACCTCCGGTAGGAAAACTGACAATCCTAGTCAATTAAGATTAGAGTCGAGTGCACCTGCCCCGTGCAGAATTCAAACTCACAACCTCAGTGTTGACTGGCTAGTGATACATCAGTTCGACTACTTAGACAACTAGGCCACCGAGACCCACGTGTCTTATATGACGATGATAAGTTTTTCTAAAACATGTTCAGTATGAATGGCAACTACATAGTGTCCAGCAATGTAACGATAGTTTTCTTGCAAAACAGAAACACATTTAACCGTTCTTTTATATTCAAAAGTAGGTAAAATCTTTATTATCCAAATCTTAAGCTTAATCCTTGGAATTTTGAAATTTACAAAAGACAAATACTGTTAAATAAGATGACAAGACAATTCACGAATAAATATTTTGGATATATGTCATTGAATATTATAAGGGTCAATATTAGTTTACCGATGTCCAAATCTAATAAATACATTTAGAAGATACAAATCAACGTAAGAAACAAACACTGAGGGAATGCCATGTATTCGAAAAGGAGCAAGACCGAGTGCCTCGACAAGGTTAGCGTCTCCCAATATGCATGCATGCCCCGCCATGCAAATCAACAATAAAAAATAGACAAAATCGGAAAGTTAACAGATTAAGCGACTATTCTGGTGTATCAAAGACAACGAACATATTTTGTTGGTGAGTTGAGATACAGACACGTCGTATTGGCCACCCAACAAGTGATGGTAAACGAAAATTGTGTAGTGTTGACATCTGTCGTTCTTTCTTTTAACTCTGTTGAAGCAGCTTTTGTGTCAGGAAGTTCGTATTTTGTGAACAATAACCAACTAATAAACAAGCATGTATCCAAGACAAAATACATTCCTATTTTCTAATTGATTTCAACGAAAGTTGATAAGTGCAAAACTTTTGTTTTTCATATTGAAGACTATCCGATGGGTAAGGAATACACAAAACAGTCGGTTAGAAAAAAATGTTTATTATTTGTACAGTTCCTCAACAAAAGTTATTCCTTCTGTCGCCTTTTGTGAGAAATGTCGAAGTGGTTCAAACGACAATAGCGTCAGTTTTCTTTAAAATGATCCATTCACGAAATTAAAGCTCTATCAAGGTCGTATCAAAACAATGTCGGACCGAAAGATCGAAATAATTGTATTTCACTTACATAATAATTTATTAGTCTTCCACTATTGTTATTTCTGTTTTAATATATATTTATTTCATTGTTAAATTAAGTCTTTACCCTACAGCTGTCTTTGTTTGCTTCACAATAATACTCGTCTATATTGCAGGTTGGGTCACTTCTTTTGTATCTAGCTTTTGCTGCAAGGAACGAGTGTGCTTCACGCCGTTTAATTTTCCATGGAGCTTGTATTTTGGCATAATGTGCGTTAGATAATTCTACAAGGTAATCATGCTAAGTGTTATATTAAGAGGGACGTTTTTAGCATAA